ATTAAGACAAAAATAAAACCAAAATCACTCACCTCCCCCCACAATACAATTTCTGGTTCACCTGTTGAGCGACAACGGCCCCAGGCCCTAGGGACCAGCTTAAGCGGAGGAAAGAGCAGTAAAGCCCTGCCATCATGGGAGCCAAAGCACCTCGGCCATCAGAAAAAATCAAAGCTACTTTCAAAGGAGAGAGATTCACCTCCACTGCATTTAGTAAAACAAATACACCACGGATTTGGAAGGTAATTCCAAACAGTTTTGAAAAGGTTTTAAGCCAGAGGGGAATAAAGAGGAAATTGGTTGTGTTGAAGAGGTGTGATTAAGGATTTTTTTTCCCATAAATTTCCATCTCATTTAATTTTTTTCTTCTGTTTGTTTTGGTCTCTCACAAATTATGTTTTCTCACCTGTATGGGATCCCTGACTCCCCATCTACCAGCTAGAGGGAGACAAACGGCACAGCCTGCCACACGGTGGTTCCCACAGGTAGGTTGTGAGCTGCTTCATTGAGGGGCATCTAAATGTCCGTTTCTATAAGTCTTTTCCCTGTTTTGGGTTCATTTTCTCCAGAAGAGTATCCACTCGTCTTCTGGCAGGAAAGAAAGTGGGGTGGGTAAAACCCCAGTGCCAGCATTCTAGAAGCCAAGTCAAGATGCCTCACTCTTCCATTTCATAGCCTTTTCTCTAAACCCTGTTCTCAGTACACCACTGCCTCCACTGTGCCCAAGAGCTCAATAAGGGAGGCCCCATTGGTCCAGCCTCTACAGAGAGCAGAATTTAGTACTAAACTGGGGAAGGGGTGGTCCCATGACTGTACATGACAGGGGAGAGATGTTTCCATCAATCCCCCTGGTTGTCTGCCTTCAGACACCTGGCACTTCCAATCCACAAAAAATAAACAAACAAACAAAAAAAGCAGTACTGTAACAAATTCAATAGACTTAAAAAAAAAACCCAAAAAACATTGTGTCCCCCTCTCTTTCTCTTTAACCTAATAAAGTCATAACTTATTAAAAATCCCTTTACTGATCTTTCATCGGGGTTTCAGGAAAACGCAAAGATGATCATGTATGTTTAATCTACTATGCTTGAGAGCAAGTCCTACAAAATAAATGATTTTTAAAAATAAATATATATTGAACTATTCTGCGCCAAGGAAACGTAGTCAAGCAAGCCTCTTACCTGGACTTGACAAGTGCCTAGTCTTTTTTTTTTCTTTTTGCGGTTCGCGGGCCTCTCACTGTTGTGGCCTCTCCCATTGCGGAGCACAGGCTCCGGACACGCAGGCTCAGCGGCCATGGCTCATGGGCCCAGCGGTCCGCTGCACGTGGGATCTTCCCGGACCGGGGCACGAACCCGTGTCCCCTGCAGCGGCAGGCGGACTCTCAACCACTGCACCACCAGGGAAGCCCGTGCCTAGTCTCTTTCTACTCTGCACAAAGCTGTGCTAACTGGTTCCCAGGCTTCTCAGGCCCACACGTCTTGCTCCGCCCAGCTCTCGGCAGGTGCCCTTCCTCCTCCCCCTCCTCCTCACCTGCCCCTTCTGGGACACAGGTAGCACGTTCTTCCAGAGCAAACCTGTGTTCCCTCTCTGTGCTCCAGATCCTAGTGCCTCTTACTTCCCTGGACCTTTTTACTGCTTCTCGCCCATCTTTTTTTTTTTTTTTTTTGCTTTTACCTTTAGTCTCTCAATCTCCTAAGGTATCTTCCTTCATTTAAAAAATTAAAAATATCTGTAAAGAAACTATAACTGGCAGCAGTATTGTGGAGTAGTTACTCCAAAGGGCCCTCCTGTACAAAACAACGAGTTCTTGGTTAAAATACACTCTTTAGTGCGCTGATGGGCTTCCACAAAGTAAAGGAAATCTCCAAGGACCCCAGCACCATAACCAAAAAGAACCACCACTACAAGCAAACAAACTGTGGCTTGAATCCAGAGTAAAACACTGAACAATAAGCAAACTCTAAGGGTAGGGTGTCCTGAGGATGAAGCCAGCTACTGAGAGACTAAGTCTTCAGACTTGCCACTGGGAAGCTGAACCTGAGAGCCACATTAAGCCAAGAACTGCTGAAGGAGACTGAAGTGGCCTATGGTGCAGCCCCTGGATCCCTTTAGAAGCAAATGCAAATCCTACCCTTATTTGGGGCCTCAGGTTAAGATCAAACAAATAAAAGCTCACAGTCAGCACCATCAAAGACATAAAGAAACAAGCTACCATAAGTGTCTGCAGAAGCCAGCAACAGATTTAGGCCCCTAAGGACTTAAAAGACTAGCTTTATGTATAAAAAATGTAAAATAAATATCAGTTGTTATATCAGCAAAAATAGGACATAATATACCAAGACAGAGGAAAGGAAAACTTGCACTGAAGGCAAAGGGAGCAGACAGCTTCGCAGTACTTCACAGCTCTGCCTATAGGGCTGGCTTTGTCCCCCTGATCATTCTCGAAGGCATGGGATAGTGGAAAGGGCTATGTTTGCACAATGATACAAACTCTCTGGGAAACAGTCTACTACCACATCATACATAGCCTACAGGAAAATGTTCAAATATGAAATCCTCACAAATTTCAATTACAAACTGAGAGCGGACTAAGAGTCATACTACCCTCGTAAAGATGGCTTCACTGAATATGGCAGCAATATCCATCTGATCATGGCAGTATTACAGTGAGTTGGGATCAACAAAAAATTCAGTATGCTGCAATAACCCGACAATCCTAAAATGCCTTGGTTGATTTGCTCAATTGTTTGCAGATGGCCCTCTACTTTTGTCAATTCAAACAACCCTTACCACTGTATCTTACCTATCCCTGAACAGTCTTTTACACACCTAAGTCAGATATTCATATACTGGCTAACAAATGGATGTTTTCAGAGTGAGGTTCCATTTTTTACCATTTAAAAGTATCTGTGCAATCATTTAATTTTATCGCACTTTTACAAACTGTAAAAAGACGTTGACAGAAAATATAAAAAAGAACTTATACTAGTGATAAGAAGTAGAAATCTCAAACTAACAACCTAAGGCTACGATGAAAATAATTACACATGCCCAAAACAGCAAGTCTTTAACCTTAAGGAGATGTTCACTGGACTTAAGCTGGTGGACAAACAGCAGCTCAGCTGCAAATGAAAAGAACAAAAGAGCATGTATAAAATCCTGAATTGCCAACCAGATAAAGGAACAGGACAGTCTGTCAGCACACAAAATCACCAATTGCCAAACCTCACAGGCAGTTCTTTCAGTGAGACAACCATCCTGATAAAGTGGCCATGGTTGAAGAGTGTCGTTTTTGTCCTGCCTCTACATGAGGCTACCTGGGATGTACAACAAAACCATGCTTCTCAAGCCTGGATGTGAGTGGGGAGTGCAGGTACAGAGAGGGTACTGTGGCAAGACGTTTGGCCCCCAAATAAGCACAGTGTATCTCTCAAGTGCATCAATTAGCTCAATGGTAAGTAATGGAAAAAATGATTTTATATTAAAATAAAAATGATATTGTGTTAAATAAAGCACAATATTTGCTTAATTTTTGTGACATAATGCAAAACAAAGTATTGGGTTTGCAGGTGCTGGTTGGACTATGCTCTCAGGCCCAACAGGGATAAACATTCCCTCCATTCTTGCTGACAGAACTTCCTGGAAAGGAATGCAACTCACTAAACAGAACTATGTTTTGGCACTATTGGTACCACAAAAACAAAGCCTAGCATTAACAAAACTAACACATACAAGATACAATCCTGATTAAAAGCTCTAACCATTTAAACATCAGTATATATTTAACAAATATAGAAGGCTGATTATCAAGGTAGTAAATTAAACATATTCAATGTATAAAGCTCTAGGTGGGCAAGAAAGCCTGATGAAGGCAGAGGTGTGTTTTGAAAAATGAACCCAGGAAACTCAAAAGCAACAGTGCCTTTGCCTTGAGGAAGAGAGAAGCAAGCGTGAAGGGTAGGTGTAAAACCGCACTCCCCGTATTTGAATTGTTAATAATCCCATTACGCCCTTTTATTTTCCAGGTTGTAACTTTTAATGCTAAGAAATGAAACACCAGCAGTTGATCTTGAAAACTATAGGCCCTCCTGACTACTGGGGAAAAAAAAAATTTCGGCAATATCAGGAGAAAAAAGTAACCTTTTCCTGTATCTTCAGAAAAAGACAATATACTTTGGCATCATAAAACTATACTTAAAAACATTATTTCTGATCAAGCAGTCCCAGAGATACCCAGACTCAGAGACTGTTATGTCCTATGAAAGTAACCTTTAACATTTATAAAATCTGTAATTCTGATTGGTTGTCTCCCTTAATAATGTGTTGGCCTAGTAATGGTATTTAAATTGACATTTGTTTCCTGAAAGGAATATTTGTGATTTTTATTTTTATTTCCCATATACATAGAAGTCAAAATAAAGAAAAGTCTCAATCTTACCAGCACCCTTATTTAAAAAAAGAGAAAAAAGAAAAAATTATAAGTATCTCAGCTCGTTTTTTTTTTTTTTTTTTTTTGCGGTACGCGGGCCTCTCACTGTTGTGGCCTCTCCTGCTGCAGAGCACAGGCTCCGGACACGCAGGCTCAGCAGCCATGGCTCATGGGCCCAGCCACTCCGCAGCATGTGGGATCTTCCCAGACCGGGGCACGAACCCGTGTCCCCTGAATCGGCAGGCGGACTCTCAACCACTGCGCCACGAGGGAAGCCCTCGGCTCATTTAAATTAATATAGGGGAAGAAAGAGTGATGGTGTCAGGTCACTTCAAAATGAAAATTGGGACTTCCTTGGTGGTCCACCGGTTAAGACTCCATGCTTCCACTGTCGGGTTCACGGGTTCGATCCCTGGTCGGGGAACTAAGATCCCATATGCCACGTGGTACGGCCAAAAAAAAATTATGAGGAAAAGTAGAATTTTCAAAATTATACTTCTAATTCTTCAAATTATATTCTTATATGTTACACACATTATCCCAGAACATCTTCAAAGGCAATACTTACTGTAACTGCCAGGAGATTTTTCTTCATAAGTAAAATGAAGTTGTAACTCTTCCTCTGACATCTCATAAATGAACACTTTCAGCAAACAGCAAATAATAAACAAAGCATTGTGTGTCTGCCAAATGAAGATGTGGCTAGAAAGGAAAGAGCAAAATTATACAAGAATCAGTATTTAATCATGAGCACAATCACTTTATTTCTAGTCCATTGATTTCTCAATCATTTTGCCCATTTTGTTTGTAATATTAGAACAATGTCCATACCTTTTTTTTTATGGCTCATGATTTATGACACTGGACCAACGACATCTACTATAATTTACCTCATATTTCATTCTGTGTATTTTACATAGTGAGTCAACTTTAAATTTTTTTTCCTTTAGGAAAAAACTTTAGTGAGTCAACTTTAAATTTTTTTTCCTTTAGGCTCTTTGTTCTTAACTTTATAGTTGCCCCATACACAGGCAATTCAAAGAAAAGAAAACTAAAAATAGAAAACATAAAAACTATAGTAACATAAAGAGAATATATGCAAATACACAACAACAAAAAAAAATTTTTTTTTTTGGCTGCGTCCTGCAGCATGTGGGATCTTAAATTCCCAGACCAGAGACTGAACCCATGCCCCCTGCAGTGGAGGCTCAGAGTCTTAACCACTGGACCGCCAGGGAAGTCCCCACAACCAAAATTTTAAATGGGACATCACCAGCTGCACAGTACAATACCTGCTATTTGTATTAATAATCGTGGACTCACAACAATTTTAATTGGATTCAATATAAATTATTTGGAAACAGGGCAATGAGCAATCTTTTAAGAGACTACCCTCCAAAAATGGTTTCAAAAAATGCTCAAGTGGATAAAAGGTGAATCTTCCACTATATGAATATAAAACCATAATATCTAATCTGAACCTTTGTTCACCTAATATGAAAGAAATAAAGGAAACAAATGTGGAATGAAATAATACACTAAGTCATTACAGTAAGTCCCCTACATACAAACGAGTTCCATTCTGACTGCAGATTCATAAGTCCAATTTGTTTTTAAGTCCAACCAAAGTTAGGCTAGGTACCCAACTAACAAACTCGGCTAAATAGTACTGTACTGTAATAGGTTTATAATACTTTTCACACGCCTTGCTCCACTCTCAAAATTGTTTTCACTTTTGTTTCCATCGTTATCACTTGGCACTTCTTAGCAGTACCAGCTACATCACCGCTGCTTTTACGCTTGATTCCAGACATCCTGGGCTTGAAATAAAGATACTGTACTACGGTACTCTATACAGTACTGTAAAATACACAAAAGCACGACCACTTGTAGAGCATGCACACATGTGACAATGTATGCCAGATACGTGAACTAAGTTACGTGACTGGACATGCACACACACATTCGCATCTTTGAAAGTTTGCAATTTAAAGGTTCGTATGTAGGGGACTTATTGTATTTAAATTAGATACAACCAGCAGTGGAAATGGGAGAAAATTACCTTTTTTAAATAATAATTACACAATTAATCTTCTTAAAGAATATATTTCTAAAGACTGTCTAAAATGCTGCAATCGGATTCCAGAATTTATAATCTCACTACAATGACCTGGACAGTAAATTAAAACCTCTTTTACTTTTTGCCTTAATAATGAGAACAATTCCAAGACCATACCCTATTTCTACCAATAAATGAAAAATCATACTGTTAAATATAAATTAAATATAGAGAGAGTGTGATTTAATCATCCAGCTTACTTCTGACATTCTGCTGAAAGTTTTAGTTCTTTGGTTCTAGACAGGAAGACCTTAATTAGTGCACCAAGGTTTCCTGTTCGAGGATTGTTTTCAACTGCAAGAGAAGAAAAGGTTTTTAAAAGTTAAAGTTAAGAACCGAAATCAAAATGAGCGTATCATAACATTTATAAAGCCAAATGTCAGACTGAAGTTGTTCAGGGATGAACCTTTTTGTCAATTTCAAATCTAATTGGGGAAATTAGCAAAGAGAGAGATTGCTGCTTGGTCTTAATTCTAAACAACGAAAAATGATTTACAAATGGAAATAATAGAAACTGTAGGAGAAAACAGCCACCTCATCTCAGAATCCAAAACTGCAAAGAAAAGATATACATAGGAATAAGTACACCATTACAGCCCACCTGCTTAGCGCTCAGTAACTGTCCAATTAACTCAGGTCTATCTGCTGGGTATGTGTTCTTGTCACAGCTTGAGAGTAGATGCAAGTAACTGTATAATCTTCTCATTGTGATAAAATGTATAGCACCTTGCTAATCCAAGTGTGGTTCAGCCGCAACAGCATTACCTGGGAGCTTGCTGGAAGTACAGAATCCCACGGCCACCCTACACTACTGAAGTTGACAGCGCTTCTCAACGTTTAATGTGCATTTAAATCACTTGGCATTCTCATTAAAGTTTAAATTCTGATTCTGCATGTGTGAAGTGAGTCCTGAGATTCTGCAGCTGTGACAGTCTCCCAGGTGATGCCCGTTGCTGCTGCGTGGAGAGCCCCACTGTGAGTAGCAAGGGGCGACCTGTGCTCTAAGTTAGGGCAGGTTTTTGTCCAGATTCCGTAATTCAGAATAGACATGTGATTAGATATTGTTAGAGTTTCACTCTGAATCAAAAATTGCCTACTTTTAAGCTTTGGGTTTAGCTTAATGAAAGACTATACTGAGATTTCAAGACAAACGGATTTTTTAAAAACCAGTTAATGTAGGGGACTTCCCTGGTGGTCCAGTGGTAAAGAATCCTCCTTCCAATGCAGGGGACATGGATTCAACCCTGGGTCAGGGAACTAAGGTCCCACATGCCGTGGGGCAACCATGCCCACGCACCACAACTAGAGAGAGAAAACCCGCAGGCCACAACTAGAGAGAAGCCTGCACACTGCAACGACAGATCCCGCATGCCTCAACAAAGGTCCCGTGTGCCACAACTAAGACGCGACACAGCCAAAAAAAAAAACCAAACTAAACAAAAAAAAACCCAGTTAATGTGTGCAAGTGTGTCTCCGTGTGAATTAATATTTCATAGCTATTGTAAATCAAAACAAAATACTGAAACAAAATGCTGAGGCTGACAGGACTTCAACCATATTTCCAAATCTCAACTTCACAATCTTGTGTTCATTCAATAGCCCCTTCATTATTGAATGGCTTTATAAGTAATCATTTGAATTTTATGGTTAGACATTAAAATAACAAACAAAAAACCCTATGTTGTTAGAAAGAACAACCAAGACCACTAGACTGATGTAATTAAAGTTTTGTGTACCCTTTTCATTCATTCAGCATGTCTTCATGGAGCTACTTACATGTGCCCAGCACTGTGTCAGGTACTAAGAAGATACTTACAAACGGAACTCCCTCTCTTAATGTGGATGACATTCTAAGTTTCCAAAGTACTCTTTTGGATAAGATGTAGATGGGGTAATAAATTTATAAAATTAAGTACACTTAATGACGTTTCAAAAATAATACTCAATGTAGACTCAATATTCCAAAATACCTCAGTGGAATTTAACAGGATCAAACTTAATTGGCAAAAATCAAATGCTACATTGAAGTTGAAGGCGCTTCAGGACCAGAGTAGGAACAGGGGATGTCTGACAGAAAGGTAGAAAAGCACGTGGAACTGGACTACAGAATGTGACTACGTTCAAAGCCCAGCTCCAGCACTGACTAGCTGTGTGACACCTGGCAACTTACGTAACCTCCCCATGCCTCAGTTTCTTCATCTGTAAAAATTCAAGTAATGATAATACTTCAGTAATGGAAAACTAACTCATTTAACTCTAGAGCTTGAACTTGCAGCAATCTGTTAACTGAACTGGCTTTGTGAAAAAGGAATTCTCCATCTCCACAGGAGTTCAAGCAAATTCCAGGTAATACTCAGACAAGGGTATTATAAAGAGGATTTCCACCTGGGGTGAGAGGTTGACCTTGCTTCCAGCCCCTGAAACAACCTTTCCCAGTATCTCACTAAAATACCCACGATCTCCAAGATCCAATAACCAATATACCATAAATATAAAAGACAGAGACATGCTAACAACCCATAAGGGCAATCGACAAAATCTACATTGTGGGAAACTCTACTACCCACTTTCTTCAATAAGAAAATTGAGAGGGGAAAAAAGGCAAGACAAATTCAGGAGGAACCTAGCTCTGACAAGAATGTAAAGACATATTAACCAATAATAATGTATGGACCTTATTTGGCTCCTGATTCAAACAAACTGAGACAGTTAGAAATTTGAACAGTCAGTGGATGTTTTGTGATATTAAAAATTGTTTTTAGTAGATAATGGTATTTTTTCCATTAAAAAATTGTTATTATGAGATACATATCACAATATCTATGGATGAAATAATATAATGCCAGAGGTTTGTGTCAAATTAATTATGTGAGGATATGCTTTTTGTTTTGTATACACTTTTTACTTGTGCACTTTTCTGTACATATCCATATGTCAATAAATAGGTGAGAGATAAAGATGAAACAAGACTGGCCATGAGTTGAAAATGATTGAAACTGGGAGATGAGCATACAGGAGGTCATTATATTATTCTGTCTGCCTCTGTATGAGTGGGAAATTTTTTAAAATAAAGAATTAAAAATAAAATACCCATGAAAAAATACAAAAAGATACAAGGTCATGAAAAGGCTGAGTAAGGATAGTCCTTTTCCCCAAAATACAGGAAACACTTTAACTAACTACAAATGTTATAGAACTGGACTAAAATTTTATTTGGTAATCAATGGATCATTAGCAAGCCTAACTGCCTGAAAGTACTTTTGTCTACTCCAACCAGAAAACTTACGTTAATCGTCCCACCCAATACCTTGCTATACAGATTCAGAGGCGACAAGTCCCAGAAAACAACTGGAAGAATTAAACAAGCCAAACACAGAGCAAACCTCACCTCGTCACATAAAACAACTGACCTGGCTCTCATAGCACTATCCTAGCAGGTAAGAACTAGGAAAAAGTGGGGGAAATGCATTAAAATTCACTGTGAGATATTGAATAAGAAATCTGTTTGGACCCAGAGAACCCCATGTGCAGATTCTTAGAAAAAAGTAATAAAGATAATATAAAAAGCCCAACAAAAATAATGGCCACAAACATCCCCAAAATGATGAAAAACATCAATCTATGTATCCAAGAACATCAACAAACCCCAAGCAGAATAAAGAATAAATTTTAAAATTTTGTAAAGGCAAGGACAAAATCTTGACAGCAGTAACAAAAAAATGACTTATCAGAAGGCAACAGAATGATATAGTCAAAGGGATATGAGAAAATAAATGGCAACCAAGAATTCTGTATCCAGAAAAACTCTCCTTCAAAATGAAGGCAACAGCAGGGCAGGGGCACAACTTTACAGTGGAGAAAATGGACAAAAACAACCCTGGCCACACAATCAAGGTCAACATCACCAGTGAAACTCACGTTAATAGCATGTATCCCTGAGATGATGTGTTGAGAACAGCATGTCACCTCTGTGATCTTCCACCTACAAACCCATAACCCCCACCTAGCCATGAGAATAACATCAAACGAGCTGAGGGACATTCTAGAAATACTCTACCAGTATTCCTCAAAACTCTTGAAGTCATTAAAATTGAGGAAAATTTGAGACAAGAGGAGGTTAAGGAGACTTAATGACTAAACGTAATGTAGTATCCTGGAACAGAAAAAAGTCCAGGAGGACATTTGGGAAAACTAGTGAAATCTGAATAAAGGGTCAAGTTTAGTTAATAGTAATGTACCACTGTTGATTCCTTAGTGTGACAAATGTACCATATTAATGTAAGATGTTGACAACAGAGGAAACTGAAGAGGGTTATATGGGAACTCTCTACATAGCTTTGCAACTTTTCTATAAATCTAAAGCTATTCTAAAATTAAAATTTTATTTTAAAAATCTCAATAAATGTGTTTACCAGAAAAAAGATTAGTAAACTAAAGACAGATTAATAAAAAAATATCCTACGGAAGGTCAGAGAGAAAGTAAAAAAGAAAATAAAATACAAAAAAAGAGAGAGAGAGAGAGAGAGAGAGAGAGAGAGAGAGCCTAACAAGCCTATGCAACACAATGAAAATGTTAACACAAATATAACAGAGGCCCTAGAAGGAGAGGAGAGACAGAATAGGACAGAAACAATGTATAAATCGATAATGGCTGAGAATTTTCCAAAACTGATGAAAGACATCAACCCACAGATTTAACAAGCTCTACAAACCTCAAGCAGGGAGGGAGGGAGGAAGGAGAGAAAAAAGGAAGGAAGGAGAGAAGGAAGGAAAAATACTCCTCAGCATATTCTAAGATGTTGAAAACCAAAGGACAAAAAAGAAAAACTTAAAAGCATCCAGAAGAAAAAAACTCCATTGTTTTCAAAGGAACAACACTAACATTGACAGCTTTTTTTTTTTTTGACAGCTTTAATCTCAACAAAAATGAGAGTAACCAGAAAAATAACAGAATGGTATATTTAAAGTATGGAAAGAAATTAATGCCAACCTAGAATTCTACACCCAGCAAATATATCCTCCAAAAGCAAAGGAAAAATGAAAACATTTTCAGACCAAAAAAAGAAAAAAAAGAGAGAATTGTTACATACCCACATAGCCCTTAAAATTGATTTACATTTATATCTATTAACGTGGAAAGAAGTTCCTGAATACTGCTAAGTGAAAACAACACAGAAATAATACCACTTACATAAAATTGTGCATATAAGTCAATACACACAGAATTACTGATAAAATTTTGATCTTATCACAAAAGATTAGCAATGATTTCCTGCACTGTTTAATATGGGAAGACTTTAATTTTAACTATACCACTATATTGTTAGAATTTGGGGAATTAAATGTATATATATATATATATTTGCTATTCTCCAAAGTAGTTTTAAATATAGAATGACACACTTAGATACATAATATCAAGTGAAAAACACAGATTAAAATAATTGAGTATGTGTATTTAATATGCATGTAAATGTATATCCAAAGAATAAATAACAGAAGGCAAAATATTACCAGTAGCTATGTCAGGGTTGTGGAATATGAGCAATTACTGCCTTTTTTACATTTTAGTATGCTTTCCACATTGTATTAATAAGTAACTATTACTCCCAATTTTAAAATGTTATTTTTGTAAAACCCCAAGGTCACATTAAAAACCATCATCATAATAACTGCATTAATATCACTGTTACATAAAATTAATTTTCAGCAAGCTGTCATATAGGTTTTTGATAGTCAGCACTATTTAGCGCAAAAGCCTCAAATCTATGGTTATAACTGCAGACAAAATTCAAGGCAACTATTATAATACCACCTCTATCATTACCAACATAATTTGTTTTTAAAAGCAAAAATATTTCATCAAAGACTGTTTTTGGCAGAGTAACTTATATGGGAGTTAGCCACATAGCTTACATGGAGCACATCCATAAATTTGATTTAAAAACAAGCTTGTCATCACTTATTAAGCTCCTGTCCACCAGTCGTTTCACAGATACGTTATCTCTAATTTTCAAAGCAACAATAAAATGTAAGTATAATCATTCACATTTTTTAAAGCATACAATTCTTTCCAATTGCTACCAATTTGAAAGCAAAGTATTTGAGAAATGAGGTCCAAAAAAAGGTAACATTTGTTGACATAAATAATGAATAATGACGAGATGCTAGGCACTATGCTGGATGTTTCGTATGTTATCTGACTTCTTCCCATGAGAATCCTGCAATTTAGATGAGGAAATTAAAGCTCAGCTAGTAAGTAACAGAGCTATAATTAAGACCATAAAATAATTCCAGAGCCCATGCACTTTACCATAATACCAAGTTGTTATTACTAATTTGAGAAGATTCCTAATATATTTTCCTATTAATGAGTGATAATTATTCTAGTTAACACAGCCAGCAACAGCATATATAGTACATGCAGTTGGCAAAGCAAAGGATGAATGATCCATATTCTCTAGGAACTATACATGCAACTACAAAACAAAGGATATTTTGGGTTTTTCTCAGTATTTCAAAATTTGCAAAAATAATAAGCTCTATGGCTTAGTGGAGTCCATTACCACTACTGCAAATAAACCAAGCATGTGTCTCATTGCTGTTAACTGAATGAGAACCTCTAGAGGCATCAATAAGCACCAAGAATATAATTATTAGTACAATTATAATTATCATCAACAAAAATATATCACTTCATTAATTCAATTCACATTGCACCAGCAAAATCTGTAACAGAAATTTTGAAATAACTGTCTCCACATACGTACATGTATATACACATCTCACACACACACACACACACACACTCATTTTTCCTCCTTACCTAAAGACCTGCAGACTGAAATGGTTGCCTCCTCCAAGAGCTTCAACTCAGTACTGGAAAATGAGAAGAAAGGTAATTAATAACTATAACATTAACTATGTACGTACTAACCAGTTAAAGGAATACATAAAAATAAAGACAAGAAAGACAATTTAGAAGGAAAATAAGGTGTACAGTGGTAAACAATAATATCAGCTAAATAAAGCTTCTATTCTCAATGTAATTAGAAAACTTACTATAATTCTCAACATGAGACTCCTAAAGAAAAACACTTGGGGTGCCTTGCCTTTTAGGTATTGAGGCAGGGAGGAGAGGTGGGGCTGGTGGGACTTAGAAAAATTCTAGAAAGGTATTCTCAAACACAGAGCGCAAGGCAGGGGCCTCATGTGCCCATTTCCAAGGAAGTACTGATCATAGGATTATAGTTATTTAGAAAAATGCCATTATTTTTCTATAATACTTTCAAATAGTTCAACAACAACAAAAAAAGAAACAAGGCAAGAAAAGAGAGAAAACACAGACATAAGCTTCAATAATTTATAAATATACAGAAAAACAGAAGCAATGCAAATTGACACAGAGACAGGAGAGAAAGACATAAAACTCTTAGATTTAAAAACTGGGGAAGCTACAGGACAGTGGATCCAGCAGTAATTTCTTACATAGGACACCAAAAACACAGGCATCAAAAGACAACATAAATTGGACTTAACCAAAATTAAAAACTTTTGCACATCAAGGGATACTACCAAGAGAATGAAAAGTCAACCCAACAGAATGGGAGAAAATGTTTGCAAATCACATACCTGATAAGGCACTAATATCCAGGATATATTTTTTTAAAAACTCTGACTCAACAACAATAAAAAAACCCAAACAACCCAGTTTAAAAATCTGCAAAGGATTCAGATAGACATTTCTCCGAAGACATAAAAACGGCCAACAGGTACATGAAAAGATGTTCAACATCACTAGCCATTAGGGAAAATGCGAATCAAAACCACAGGGAATACTACTTCACACCATTAGGATATGGTGTGATTAAAAAAAAGAACAGGAGGGGACGGGAGAGGAGGGGAGGGAAGGGAAAAGGAAAAAAAGTGTTGGAGGGGATGTAGAGAAACTGCGACCCTCGTGCATTGCTGATGGGTGTGTAAAATGGAGCAAGTGCTATGAAAAACAGTATGGCAACTTTTCAAAATATCAAAAAGAGAATTATCATATGATCCAGCAATTCCACTTCTGGGTATACATATACCCAAAAGGACTGATATTTGTACACCCACATTCACAGCAGCATTACTCACAATAGCCAAAAGGTGGAAGCAACCAGTGTCCATCAATGGATGAATGATGGCACAAAATGTGGTACATACATACAATGGAATATTATTCAGCCTTAAAAAGGAAAAGTTCTGACACACGCTACAACGTGGATGAACCCTGAAGACAGTATGCTAAGTGAAATAAGCCAGTCGCAAAAAGATAAATACTGTATGAGTCCACGTCAAATCCATAGAGACAAAGTAGAATGGTGGTTGCTATTGGTGTGGTTGGGAACAGGGAGGTGGGAGGATGGGGCAGGGATAGCAAGTTAGTATGTGATGAGTATGGAGTTTCAGTTGGGGAAGAGGAAAAAGTTCTGGAGATGGACGATGGAGACAGTTAAACAGCAATGTGAATGTAGGACTTCCCTGGTGGCGCAGTGGTTAAGAATTCGCCTGCCAATGCAGGGGACACGGGTTCAAGCCCTGGTCCGGGAAGATCCCACATGCCGCGGAGCAACTAAGCCCGTGCCCCACAACTATTGAAGCCCGCACGCCTAGAGCCTGTGCTCTGCAACAAGAGAAGCCACTGCAATGATAAGCCCGCGCACCTCAATGAAGAGTGGCCCTCGCTCACCGCAACTAGAGAAAAGCCCACGTGCAGCAGCAAAGACCCAACACAGCCAAAAATAAATAAATTAATTAATTTTTTAAAAATGTGAATGTATTTACTTAATACTACAGAAGTAAACACTTAGAAATGGCTAAAATGATAAATCTTACGTTGTGTGCATTTTGCCACAATTTAGAGAAAAAAGTGCATTCCAATTCCAATTCAACTAGTTACTAGCTGTATAACCTAGGGATCGTTTAACCTTCTTTTAGTTTTCTCATACATAAAACAGAGATGATAAAAACAGTACCTGTTTCAAAAGGTGTGGTTATTAAATTATGTAATATGTATAAGGCACTTAGAACAGTGCCTGGCACAAAGTAAAACCTCAGTAAATGAACTACTATTGATTCCAAAATGCAGTGCTTTTTTCCCAGTTAATAAATTAAAATAATGCTTTACATCTGTGTAACCCTTTAAAAGTTTTTCAAAGCACTTTCAAATTTATTAGCACACGAGAACCTCTTCTAACGAGCAGGACAATTATAAACCCTATTTTAATAGATAAGCAAACTGAGGCTTCTGAAGAGTTTAAGTAACATTCCAGGAATCAGCGGTCTAGGAAGAAGAACCAGCTTTACAGCCTGGTGACTGGTTTAAAAATTTTGTTCTTTTCTGCCAACACACATGGCACATAGCAAATCCTCCAAATGGGCAACTCTTTCAAGGGCTAGTTTAAAAACCCCTACCTCCCAGGGTTCTCTGCTGTTGCTGCTGAAGCATACTTTTAAAAAAAAAAAACAATCCATAAGCACCAATGCTTCTGACAAGAAAATTTTAGAGAAACTATGAAAGAAAATGGATTACTTTAGCTATTTCTAGAACTATGTTGTCCAATATGGTAACCACTAGCTACATGTAGTGGCTGACCACTTGAAAAGTGGCCAGTCCCAACTGAGATGAACTGTAATACAAAATACATACCAGATTTCAAAGATTTTTTTAAAAATAGAAAATACTTCATTATTAATCTTTATGTTCATGAAATTATAATATTTGGGATATACTGAGCTAAATAAAACATACTGTTAAAATTAATTTCACCCGTTTTATTTTGCATTTTTAACATGGCTACTAGAAAACGTCAAATACATTCCGATCTAACCTTTTATTTCTATTAGAGCTACTCCAGAACTTGTCTCCCAGCAACTGAAGACAGAATCATGTATAGGAAGCACTGTACATACACACAAAGCTAAAACTAATTACTTCAGTGAATATGCCATTTCCTTAGGAATCTCAAATTATATTCATATTCAAAAAGATAAATATCTTTCCAAAGTAATCTTTAAGTTTCTCCTAAGACTGACAAATTTTTAGCCAAAAGTACCTAGAAATGATTCTATAGTCAACTGTTTGCACGTCCCTGGTCTTTATCCCTGTATTAGATATTTTCGGAGAGTCTGCCCACCTCATATGATCTGTCTACTGTCCTCCCCCTCCCTTTCTTCTACCTTCCCACCTACTCCTCAGGGGTGAGCAGAAGCAGACAGCCTTGTTCAGCCTGACCCCCACTCCCTGGCCATAGCTGATGGCTCAGAGATAGGCATCTAACAAAAGCTATGCCAGAGTCTTGGGGAATTTGGAATTGAGATGTAAAGACAGGTTCTCCGTATGGCTGGAACTGGCCTGCCATGCTGAGGGTTACAGGAAGCCATCCTCTATCCACTGAGCAGCAGAGATAAACAAAAAGGACAG